GATAGTAGGCATGCAAAAACACAGTGGAAGTGACCAAGGATCCTCAGAATTAGTCTTTCATAGGCAGAAAAATAAGTGAGAATTAGAACTAGCATTTATTAACTTTTATTACGTGCTAAAGGAGCCCTGGAAGGACCTGGTTAAACACTCGGCTGCTAACTGAAAGGCTGGCAGTTGAAAACCACCGCCTACTCTGTGGGAGAAAGATATGTCCGTCAGTTTCCGTAAAGATTACAGCCTTGAAAACCCGCAGTTCTACTCTGTCCTATAGGGTCGTATGAGTCAGAATCGACTCAATGGCCGTGGGTTTAGGTTTGTTGGGTATTGTGTGCTAGGCCGTCAGTTTCCATAAAGATTACAGCCTTGAAAACCCTATGGGCAGTTCTACTCTGTCCTATAGGGTCGTATGAGTCAGAATCGACTCACTGGCCGTGGGTTTAGGTTTGCTGGGTATTGTGTGCTAGGCCCGCCATTACGAACTCTTCTGTCTCGGTAGATCATCACAACCACTTTGTAGTGTGTATCATTATTCTCTTTCATGCCAGAGAGGAAACCAAACTGCAGGGAGGCCACATAACCCATCCAGGGTCTCAAGGTCACAAGGCGGCAGGGCAAAGATGTGGAAGGCCAGAGCTCTTGGCCCTACCTCACACAGGTGTAAGCCTTTCACAAGCTGCAGACGTCTGTAAACCTAAACCACTTTGAATTATGTGCCCTGTGTGACATCACAACACCGTCAATGAGTTTCCTCTATTTCCAACTGTCTGTTTAGTATAATGAAATTAAACCATTCAAAATGGATATTCAACTTGTTCTGTGACCTTGTCTTCGTTAGAATATGCCAAATAAATGGGAGTTTTGGAGGGCACGCCATCTTTTAAGAATAGGATCTTTCTGCCAAGACAAAACACTCCATAGGAACTAAACTATACAGCTACAGAAGCTCAGAAATCAGGTTGTTACACAGGGTACAAGCAAGAGGCAACAGGTTCTTTTTAGGTTTAGGAAACCAAAGGGCAGGAAAATAGGCAAGTTTCTGGCATGAGCTAAAACCAGACGCTTGTTGGTCCCTCTACCCTGGTTTTCTTGATTTTTCCATGCTGCATGGAGAGAAACAGCTATCATCAACTCTCCCGTCAATGCTTCTCCCCATATACAAGACCAAGAAGATTCAGGGTAGAATCTGGGCCCCAATTCTAAATTCCCTGTGGAATTGACCTTTGGTGCAATCTTCCACTGGGGACTATATTATATAAACATGGCCGATAAGAACCCCTAAACTGTAAACATATGGATTGGGAAAAAACAACCTCCAGATAAGATGGGGGAGTTGGGGGGGGCAGTGCCTATTTGGGCAGCCAACAAAATTTACAAAGGGTTGCCAAAAGGCACACAAGCCTTTTAGTAGAAAATTTACAAGATAATATTTAAGTGATGTTTAACTCGGAAGGATGGAGGCTGCGGGGAGGAGGGAGAGAATCAAGTTTTAAATGACAAATAGAAAAATCCACCATGCTGGCAACAAAAATAACCCAACTCATGCTTATGCTAAAGTTATAAAAGAAGAAGGGGAAAAACTTTTCACACCTGTAACAGAATCATTAAAACATGACAGGATGGCTAGGGTTTGTGAGAATTAAGGGCCACCTACTGTTCCACATTTTACCCTCATCCCAATTCCAGTCCTCGAAAGAAATGAAAAGAAAGCTGAAGGAATTTTCACTGAGACAACATTTAAGCAGAGACCAGATCTGCCAAAGACTATCTGTCTATCCTCAAGAAATATCCTGGAGTAGAGTTTCTAACAGCTTCATTTTTTTAAATGATTTTTAACTCCTTTCGTCTTAAGCATGCAGGATGATATAGGTTTTATTTTTTAACTCTGTTAGAAAAACAGGGCATATGTTGTAAGAATGTAAAGAAATCTTCACTCCTGATGTGGTGTTGATGCTTTTTCAGAAAAATTAATGAGTGTTAATTGTTCAGAACCTAAATAAAAGACCAAATTTAAACTCTGGTATTTGAATCTGCATCCAGGAGGACCAAACAGAATATTTACCACTGCTTT